TCTTAAAATCAGATTTTTTGTTTCCTGTACGCCCCTTTGCATCTGAGTGTGGTTTTGAACTGTTACAGTAATAAAGATCCATTTGGGCTGAAGCCCCTCATCGAGTAATAACAGGCCAGACTAAACTGAACCAGTGCAGTAAGCTTAATGTCAGTCTGAGGGGAAAAAATATAAGGCCAAAGTACAGAGGTAGAGGAGTAGCCCAACACCGTTATGGAATAAATACAGCTGCATTATGTTACTTTGTTTATATTTAACCTCTGTTACTATCCTTTACATATTAAGAATAGAACAGAGAATAACATGGAAAGTATCTTAAACATCTCATGAGCAACAGTGTGTCCTTTATATAACTGCAGCAGCATTGAGCAGAAACAGCTTCATGGGGAACGATGAGTAAGGAGCATGACCACTGCATGACTGGATGCCAGGAGAGGACAGAGTGTGGGAACTGTGGGAGGGGAGAAAGCAGAGAGAAAGGGGGAGTGGAAAAAAGGGAGAGCTACAACAAATCTTAGGATGTAACTCAGAGGGAAACTAGCCTGTCGACGCAAGCAATATTCTAAATAGGATTGTAAATAGGGGGATGTAAAAAGCAAAATGTTTAGAGAAGGGGGAAAGTGTTCTGTTTGGGATGAGGGAAAAGAAAGAAGAGGAGGAAGTAGGCTAAGAGGGGAAAACCCAAGTAGCAGCACATAGACGCCATGACTGATCTAATATCTGAAAACTCTTACTAATAGGAACAGACAAGAACTCTTGTAAATCAGCTTTTATGTTTAAGCGACGTAACAGCAGAGCATTTGAGTTCGGTTGATCCAGATTAAAATCTTCTCAACTTTGACCTCTTCTAGCGTTAAATTGAGTTCACACTTTCAAAGTGATTTCACATGATGAAGTGTGATCTCTTTGGGCACACATGGGCGGCTGTGGCTCAGTTGGTACAGTCGGTCGTATCTCAACAGTCGGATCGGTGGTTTGATCCCCACCTCCTGCAGCCACATGTCCGATCATGTGTCCTTTAACACTTAACCCCAAGTTGTTCCCGCTGCTGCATGATGGGACTACTTAATACTGATGGACACTTCACAGCAACCTCTGCCGTCAGTGTGTGTGAATGGATAGGTGCATTGACTTGAGCTAAAGATTCTAAATATATAAAAACTTTAATTCTTTTTCTGTGTATCCCCTCTCTAGTACCTGAAGTATTTTGTCACGTCATCTGCAATTAACACTAGCAGTGCTGAGACAATTATTCTTTAATCCCTAAAACAAACTGGATGAGTATGTTCTTTTAGTAATAGAGAATTGTTCTCTTCAAGTCATTTATCATGTAAAGAACGAAGATTTTCTCTTGTATTTTAAACTGAATTTCTTTAACTTTCAATCTTAAGCAAACATGGGAAGTCCTTTTTTTTAATTCTGCAATTCAATGACAACAATGCTAACTAAATCTCTTGCGGAAAATTGTGTGACGTGATCAACAACTCAGGGATGGCTACAAAATGATCACTGTGGAGAGGAACAGTTGAAGCTTTTGGGGTTTTGGAATTTTTCCGTTGGACAAAACACAGTGCGAAAGAGTGATGAACCGTGGTTGCACTCCACATTCTCAGTCTTTTATGCAGTGAAGGTAACAGCTCCTGCCATGTGTAACTAGCAGATGAGCAGTACACAAACCAGCTCCTCTTACCTGACCTGGTGCTCCAGGAAGCTCATGTAGCGGTAGAGGAGGGTGTAAGAAAGAGACAGGATCCCCACCGACTTCATCCTCGCCCCCCTCTCCACTGTGCTCTCCACCGGCATGTTGGCAAAGCAAGCGAGGCCAAAGAAGCTGCCTTTGCGGAAGTATCTGTGGACGGAGAGGAGAGGAGAGGAGAGGAGAGGAGAGGAGAGGAGAGGAGAGAGGGAGGCAGACAAACGACGCCATGAGTCACAAAAAGAAAAGACACTGCCAGATGGCTGGCCTTTTTCTTTTTTTTTGCCAGGCAACGCTTTCTGTCTCTCTGTCCTGCCAGGAGGAAGACATGGGGCTGCATCATAATACTCTGAATTAGCTTCCTACACTCGCCTGCATCACTCAGGTTACTGATGTCTTTGTGCATCTATTCACACTAATCATGCACATACTTACATGAAGTCTGTGGTGACCCTGTGGGAGCCGCTGGCGATGGCTTTGAACTCGACTCCGTCCAGGTCCATGTCGTTGGGCAGACACCACTCCAGCATGTTTCCTACCACACCCCCACACAACAAGGGAATATAATATGAAAAACCGCCCAGGCAAGCAGGAAACATGCCAATAGAGGAACAGACCGTCAATTTAGGACCACAATTTCATTTTATGCTCATGAAACAACAGTGGCACAACCCGTCTGGATTCTTTTGAATTCATTACGTTGGACTCTGTTGCTCGAGCAGCAGCTGAGCAAATACGGCTCGATAGGAGACAGGGAGACAGAGAAGATGACTCAGCCAAGCCGGTGCAGTCTTCATTAGAACTACTTGCATCTCTTGGTGATTCATAAGCAGAAAAATGAGTTTCTCTCAGATTGAGTTCACAGGTCTGCATCATCCACTGAGACTAAACAACCACCTGTGGCTGAACATTTGAGATTCCATTTTGTCCACTTTGACAGCTTGAACCGGCTTTAACCTTACAGCTTTGATGCAGTGCAGAGTTCCTATCAGAGACACACATGCAGACAAGTATTAAAAGATCACTACTTGAGAAATAGAAGAGACATCCATTCATACATATATAACATGTCATTCATGAACAAAGGAGCCATATTGTCTTCACCCGCCACTCCAAATGAAAAATGAGACAAAGGAAAAACTTGAATATGAAAGTTAAAGACAACATTCTTTGCTGGGAAAAAAAAAAATTTAACCCAAGGAGAGAGAGCATTGTCGTAAAATAAAAAAAATTGTGCGATCTAGACAGTATCAAGAGTTTTTTTTGTTGCAATTTTTGGTCATTCAAAATAAGAAATTACCCAATAAGACTTCTATGTTGTTACAATGTTATCAAAACAGGTATCAACAATGTATGATTTTTGCCAGTATTTTATGAAAGTTTAAAATTGTATTGTGACTATCATACTTTGCAACACATCTAATAATGTGTATTACACAACTGATTAATAGTATTTTCATATCATAGTTTTATCTACTGTACATATTCTGTTTAGATTATTGTAAATAATTAATTATTGCACTTTCTCTTCTCATTGGTCTCTCTCCCTGGAAATCCTTGATCTGCTGTTGAGGTAACATTGGCTTATTGGTGGACTGAAAATAAAAGATTGACAGTAATTACTGTACAGAGCAAGAATTGATCCATCTGCAGTCTCATTTGTAGACTATCAATTGAGGCCTTTTATACAACAGACCCTTTTAGACTGTGTGGCAGATTTGCAGCAGTGGAATACAGATACCAGTACAACTTCATCAGATACAGACAAGTGTTAAGGAAAGTGTTTTTTAAAAACCTTTTTACACTCCATACGCCAAAACCCATTTAAATAAGACGTGTTTTAAGACGATGTGCCAAGCTCCACCCTGTATTGACTACAGTCAGGTTTTAGATTACTAAATTGATTGGTCCTCTTGGTAAGTGACAACACGGGGGGGGTTCACAGGAGCTTATTGTGTCTTTAAAATGCACACTCCTCATTAAAAATAAATAGGCCTTTCCTGCGGAATCAACCAGCTGATTGATTTCCATCACAGAACTTGTCCGGATGTATAATCACGTCTCATCTGTGTTAAGGCTTCAGAAGGTGTCATGCCTTTCAATCGTGTCTCTAAACATATGGCCAGGTCAGAAAAATGCCACACCTGTAGAAGGTTCTGCAGACTTCGTTTAGGGCGTCAGACACGATACATTCACACGAGGCAATTCTCTAGCGTTTTGTCCCCTTCCTTGCAAAACAAGTACGACTTTTGCTCTTTTAGTTAGGGTGAGCAATTTGGCATTTACTTGTTAAAAGGATGCAATAACGCCCTGTTTCATATGTAATTCCCTACCTGATCTGGTATTGAATGTAACCACGAAAACAGACACAATCTGGTCCTTTTCCTCCCATTTCACCATCCTGTCCTCCAGCGGTACCATCATCGATTCCGAGTCCGAGAGATGCTCCTCGGTGTCGGGGTGCAGCGCTTCATCCTTGCCCACTGGGTCGCTGGAGGTCGCGGGTGGGGCGCTGCAGCCGTCTGTGTTGGATACAGACTTGGTGGGAGTGGGACCCCCTGGACCGCTGCTCCACCCAAACGCTGGCGAAGAGCATCCCGATGGGGACGACTGTTGGAGGGGCTCGACAGTCGTTCCTTGGCGTTCCCCGTCGCCGGTGCCTCTCCCTCGGGCTTCTCCGCAGACGGAACCTCCTCCCAGTCCAGCAGAGGGGCACGGTCCGACCGCTCCACCATCCTGTCGGCGGTCCCGCCTCGTCAGTCTCACCGCGGATTGTATATGATGTTTCAGCCGACAGGCACCAGGTCCATCCGGGCAATTATCACATTAGAAAGTTCTATTTAAAAAACTGTTCACAATGGTTGCATGTTCAATAAATTAACGTTACAAGCACAAGATTTCGCATCTATCTTTTTTATCTTTCTTGTCTGAGGTGATCATAAATTTGATGCTGTTCAGAGAGGGCAACTCCTTCGTCTGATCAGAGCTACATTCAAAACAATCTAACAGTTACTGCCAAAATGGCCTCATTTGAATAGCTATCGAACACTTTGAAACACCGATCAGAATTTGCTTCTCGAATGCAGCCTGCATCACAGCGTCGGAGTGAATTTTGCTTTTAGAAGCAGCACTTTCGTCAAACGTTGTGTTTATTAAAATAAAATAATCCGTCTACAATATATCCAAACGAAATATTAAAACAATATGAAAGTGCTAACAGAATTGTTATTTTTTAAACTTGTACTGTTTGTCCATTTCTAAGTTTAACTCGCGTGTGAATACGACGAATGTTGCGTAACAAAACCTCAGTGAGAGTTGGTGACACAGCGACACGTCAACCACACGGAAGAAGCTCCCTCTCCGACCTGCACCAGTCTAACCGATATAAGGACTGTAGTCTTATCAAAATGGGTATGTAATTTGAAATAAATGTGTCGATAATATATATATTATTAGTAAATGTAACGTACATCATATTGAGTTATTAGTTACTGGTTTATCTCTGTTCTGCTTCTGTCTGCTTAATGTGACGCTCAGTGCGTCGGCTGCAAGCTAAGAGAGCTAATGTTTGCTATTGATAGTGAACGCCGTGTGTTTTACATACATGTGTGAACAGCTCCCAAACGCTTCTTTCTCGAGCATTTTCGATTGCCTGTTTTATATTAGCTCCCTATTGGAATTAAGGAAACAAGAGTAGAAGCAAGAAAACTCCAGTGTTCAGTTTATTCTGTCATGCTGCAACATCAGTCATCATAACTAAGCTAACCTCAGCTAACTAAACGATACTGACAGTGAACAGGGCCAATCTTGTGAAAATAAGAAAAAGGAATAATAGAATAATCCAGAACAGATAACTCGGGCTTCTAAGTTTTCTTAATCAATCAAACACACTAAATTTTCATAGTTAAGGTTAGCAAATGTTTCTGGTTTTGGTTTAAAATCATCTTGAGAACATATTTTGTCCACCTATCAGAACCTTTGGGTTTTTTCAGCTCCGATTTGTTCCCCTGTGTGTTTTATTTCCAGGTGGGTTCTTTAGTCTTTTCTCTGGTCTGTTTGGCACCCGGGAGATGAGGATTTTGATCCTGGGTTTGGATGGTGCAGGAAAAACGACTATTCTGTACCGGCTGCAGGTTGGAGAGGTGGTCACAACTATCCCGAGTATGTACTGGTTAGATAACCTTTTTTGATTTAACTCGTTCTTATTGTCATTATAACACAATGCTCTGCTTTCAAGACATGGTGAAATGGTAATTAGAGTAGACAGCTGTAAGCATTCATACACACAGACAGCCAGTCTGGTTAGACTGGCTTTGAGTCTATTCTTTACAATCTGAAAAGTTCAAATGTCAATAAGACAGAGAAATCCGGATTGTGTTTTCTGTGTGTACTCGATTTCTCAACACTTTGAGCTGCCTTTATATTCAACCATGTGAATATACAGATACTTACATTTTGATGTTAAAGATTTAGGCACATGTGCATGAGAAAAACCCCTCAGGGAGGATAGAAGGAACTTAGTCACTTTTTTTTTTACTTACAAAAACCTTAATTCAAAATCCAGTGTTTCACATGTTATATCGCTTCATCAGGTAAATATGTTTGACTTATTCTTAGATCAAGCCTTATATTCAACATTTTGACCTTATTGAATACATTATTTTGGATCTGTTGATGCAAAATGCATTGGATATACTTTGTTGTAATTTTCATCCATTAAAGATTTTGTAATGTTAGTTTTATGATGTAGGTTGTGCCTTTTTATTGGCTTAATCAATATTGACTTTTTGCCTGGCGGCTTATGTTCCGTGATTCGCCTAACCAGAAAAGGTGTGGGCTAGGAACTGTGAATGTTTTTCAGCTTTACCTGAAGTTTTTTTTTTTTTTTGCAAGAGACAGTGTGCAGGAGTGCTGTCCTCTCGTCATTGTACACATGCTAACTATTTGCATGAATACCACTCAGGGGTTAGTGACTACACAGGATCTTCTGCCTGAACAACAAACTCCCCTTTACATACATACATGCCCCTGTGGTTTCCTTATTTCCGATTTATAAAGAGCACCATTTATTCAGAACATAAAACTGAATAATCAAACATTTTGGAATGAAAGTAAACATTGAATTAAATATTCCATTGTCTCCTTTTTAACATTTTCTTAAGCCTGCAATTAAGACTGAGCTTGCTGTAATCAGCAGAAATACCTCACATGAAGATAAGAGAGTTGTAATGATCAGGCTAATGTTCTGTGTTTTTATCTTTCTCTCTCTCTCTCTTTAAAGCCATCGGCTTCAACGTCGAGACGGTCACATTCAAGAATCTGAAGTTCCAGGTGTGGGATCTGGGAGGACAGACGAGTATCAGGTATGTGGAGGTGCAAACAGTGGCTGTGCTGAGGAGTGCCCAGGAATGTGTGTGACACCAATCTCGGTGGTGAAATTCTTGTCTTAGTTAGTATGGAGGCATTTGAGTATACATCCAAACGAGTTAAAATCTAGTTTATGCAGAGATATTTTTGGGGCCTTTTTGCCTTTTTTGGACAGGACAGCTGAAGAGAGACAAGAAATGTTGGGAGGACAGAGTAGGGAACGACATGCAGCAGAGGTCGGATTCGAACCCATGACCACTGCAATCAGGACTATAGCCTCCAAGCTTTGGGCGCGCCACATAACCACTAAGCTATTGGTGCCACTTTTAACCTTACAAATGTTTGAACTTGCCTCTCTTTATTGTAACTTCTCATCTACTCCCCATCCTCTTCCTCTCTTCTCTCCTGTGATGACCCGTCTGCTCCTCTCTCTACCCATCAGGCCATACTGGCGGTGTTATTACTCAAACACAGACGCGGTGATCTACGTTGTTGACAGCAGTGACCGCGACAGGATGGGCATCTCAAAGTCGGAGCTGGTGGCCATGTTGGAGGTACAGAAGGCTTTTTTTTTTTTTAAACTATGACCCACTACAAAGACCAAAGTAAAACAAGAAGATATGTAGTTCTCAAGCATTTAGAGAATACCCTCACTTTCCCTCTACTGCCACCATGAGGGCATGTTATCCATTTGTGCAACACTGACTCTTGACAAGACATGGTGAAAAGTAATGGACTCCCATAAAAAAATATGATTATCTTAGATAACTTAACAATCAAGCACTAATGGTAACTTTATAGAACTTGCAAGACGACTGATTTGCATTGAGTTTACAAAATGTCTTGATGTAATTGTGCGACCTTGTTTCTATCCAGGAGGAGGAGCTTAAGAAAGCTATTCTGGTGGTATTCGCCAACAAACAGGATATGGACCAGGCGATGACGCCGACAGAGGTGGCCAACTCACTTGGCCTTCCCGCTCTCAAAGACAGAAAATGGCAGATTTTCAAGATCTCTGCCCTAAAAGGCACAGGCCTAGATGAGGCAATGGAATGGTAGGCTTAACGAGGAATAAATAGAATATGCAACAACAAGTTCACTCATCCTGTTCAGTATTAGTTTATACTTAAGACAAATAACTGTTTCATCTGTTCCTAGTTTACCAAGATTTAATTGTATTTGCTTTGTCCCCACAGGCTGGTGGATTCCCTGAAGAGTCGGCAGTAAAGGCTCACACCCATTTTGTACATACTCCTGACCTTTGACCCTTCTGTATGAAGCCTTGTAACTGACCCCTCCCCACTGGACCAGTGATTGCACTCCTCCCACCTCCAACCCACCTGAAGCCTTCGCCAGGCCCTCCCGATGCCTAACGCCTTAGAACTGAAGGCTGCAGTAATGTCTGGACTGAAAACACACACAGCCCCATCTGTACCAATGCTGATGGCACAAGGGAAGGTTTTATGGAGCTCTATGATGGATGGCTAAAATTAGTATTTACATTTTAGGTGTTTCAGAAACACCTGGTAACAGGCCTGTTACATGTTTCTAGTTTTATGAATCCATTTATAACAGCCACATTAAAAGTTATCATGAATAAGGTTCTGTGAAAGGCCATCCACACTGACCCTCTAGTGTTTCTGAAACCAGATGTCTTGGCTTGACAATGCAGCACCTAGCTTGTTCTTCTACCACAGGGGTTAAGGTGTTTGTATGCAGTGAAGATATTCAGTAGTTGATGGACACTAATGTCTCAAAGATGTGATGAAGATCCACCAGGATGCAGCATTTCCAAATGAAGAACATGATCCCTAGTTTGATAATACCTCATACCATACCTCTCTTTTATCAATCAGTCGGCTTGTGGGGAATGTTCTGATTTAACTTTGAGAAATCGCATATCTGGCCTCAAGCTGTTAAACATCTACTCTCTGTCCTCCGGCCAAGTGTTACTGCAGCCTGGGCTGTTTTTGTATGATAACTTCAGGCAAATGTAATGACATTTATCTTTTTTTTTTTTCTTCTCATGTTCGTTTGTGTGCTCCCCCCTTTTTCTTTTATAAGTTTGTTGGTTAAAAGCTTTTTTTTTTTTTCCATTTAAATCCTTGAGTACAACTTTGGCATATTAGGCATTTAGTTACTGAACACTAACTGTATGTTCAAAGTTTTATGGTTTCATATTTATATCTGCTTGTACAGTGAAAATGATTCTCAGTAAAGATTGCTATCAGTGATTGTGTTGTGTGTCAAATTATAAACCAGACAAAATGTTAGTAGAAATCTCTATTAAAAAAAAAAACGATGTACATTCAACTGCACAGAATATAAATCCAAGGAGAGCGCTACACGTTCAGAGAGATAAACTGGTGTCATTACCCACACTGAGACACCCTGCTGTGTAACAGCTGTTACATGATATCTAACACAAACTAGGATGTTTGATACCAAACGGTTGAGATGGATTAGGTTTTCATTTTCATGGTTCAAGAAGGAGAAGAATATAGATAATTTACAAACCACGAGGGGGAAATATCTTTCAGCTTTCCTGACCCAATGTGGTTTTTGCTCTTTCAAGTCATTAAGTCAGACTTGAGGATTCTGCTGCCAAGTGGGATCACAAGTAAAGAGGCTGGGACCCTTCGGTTCCTGCTGGTGTCCTTAATAAGTTTCACTTGACCATGGCCAGGTCTTTGAGGGCGTGGCTCCGCTGCCTCTTGGCTTTATACCCGGGCCGGAGGAACTCAATCTTTCTCTTCTTGGCTTCAATTTTGTTCTTGTGCTTCTTGAGTTTCTTCTTGGCTGCGATGTCTGGGTTAGCCACAGCCTAGGAAGACACAATGTGTCAATTCAAATCTAGGAGTATTGTTCAGTGTGTGTGTGTTTGTGTATGCACTCTGGTGTCCATCATACCTGCATGGCTCTGTGCCGTTTGCGTGCCACTCTCCTCTGTGAGAACTCCTTCTGGACAGCAGAAAAGGCCAGAGAGAATCTCTCCAGGCCCACTTGCTTCTTCATGAGTTCGATCAGCTCCTGTGCCAGGTTCTTCAGTGTGGGATCTGGACATTGACAGTGGGCAGGGATCAGTGTCATCATCTACTGTAACTGAAAGTGTAAGGTTGATTTCTGCAACATGACGTCACATTTGTAGGCTTTTTAAGACAGGTACCTTGGTCCGCGTAGGTGCTGTCCAGCTCCCTGTACAGAGGAGTAATGATGGTGGTCAGATAAGGGCCGAGTCTGTCCTTCCCCAGGTCCATGGCCATTGCTCCCAGGAACTTAAATACACATGTTCTCTGTGGGAAAGTGTGGAGAGGAAGAACTTAGTATTATCTTAAATGTTAGAGTCTAAACACATGGATGATTCCATCCATTACGTTTTCAATACATGTGCAAGAATCAGGTGATGTGAAATGTCATATCACCTCTGACCACACACTGATTCTGGCTGTAGTCAGAAGTGTAACAGACCAACATTTAGTTTGGATAAACATTTAGGGGGCGACAGAAGAAAGAAGTAGACAAACACTTACAGAGTATAACTTTTAAACTTCATATGACAAATATTTTAAACTCAAGTTTTTGGCTAGCTTATCACTGAAGTCAAATATTAACTCCTCTGTTAAGTCTTTACAAACCTTTGAGAAACATCTGTTTTTTTAGTTGGTGGATTCATCTGAGATTTATTTTTTGCTAGCAACAGCCGCAAAGAAGCGACACTGATATGAGCAGAGGGATTGAACTAAATCAGTTAAGTAGTGGGCAGTAAAAGAAAAGAGAAAAACCAGTTCATGGTTTTTTTTGTTTGGTCATTTCTTTTGGGTAATAACTCTATGGTGCCCTCTCGTCTCACTAAATAAAGAGTGATGTTAGCATATCCAGTGGCTATCGGTATCGGCAAATTTTATCGCAGATATTATTAGATCTATTCACCAGTCAAATAGCATTTCATTTGAGTATCATAGCACTTCTCTACCAGCAGAGGGCGCTATTTGGATTACAACGAGCATTATCACCCACCACAGTGTCAAGTGATGATGCACGTACATGCAGTTACTTTCCAGTTGAGCGACCATCTTGTCTTTGTGATACTGTGTGTGTTTGATAACTGCATTTAAGGGGTCAACACAGTTAATGTGTATATCTATCTCTACAGATCAAACATAGATCTATGATATAGATATCAGAAAATATATCGTATCAGATTTTTTTCCCTCTCCAATATCGGTGTCGACCCCAAAAATTCCATATCGGTCGAGCCCAATATTCTCATAAACATTTTGATTGAGGACACTTTAAATTATAAAAAGCACAGTAATGTTTACATGAAAAGAACATTTTAACCCTTCTTTTGAGTTAATGTTCTTTATGGGTAAATATTAATGTGAAAAAGCATTTACAGTATCTTCAGTATTTCAAATGGTAATAGTGGGTGTCTTGATAAAGAGCTCAGCTCTATTCACTAGTTTCTTGTTTACCTTCAGTGGAATTTTGGGAGTGTATGCTGCCTCTCTCTTGGCCATCAGCGACAGTTTCCTCATCAACCACAGCAGTGAGGGAGGTTTATCATCCTTATCGTCCTCCTCGTCTTCTTCCTCCTCCTCTTTCTTTTCCTTCTCTTCCATCTCCTCATCATCACCATCCTCCTCATTGCCGTTCTCCTTCTGCTCCCCCCCCTCCTCCTCCTCCTCCTCTTTCATTTCTTCCTGAGAGGAAATGACCTCAGACTCGGGGGACACCAGGTAGATCACCTTGCCGACAAACAGCAAGTTCTTGACGACCTGTAGGGCAGAGGAAGATTTCTGTCAGTCAAAATCTCATGTGAATTCACTCTGACCCACTTGAAATTTGTTTCAATGTTTTGTCCTGAGTTTGAGCACCTGCTCTCCTGATGCCGTGTCTAGGAACTTGGACTGAAGCTGATGGCAGAAAGATAACGCCATCTCTCTCATCTGAACGCCATGAAGAAGGAGGAAAGAAAGAAAACTTATTAAAATGGTTAGCACACGATGAGATAATTAGCAGGAGAAGAAGAAGCGGTCATGGCCTGACCTTCTTGTCCAGGCCGCTGGTGATGAAGACTGTGACTGGCAGCTGAGGTGAAGCATCTCCACTCTCCCCTCTCCAGAGAGCAACCAGCTGCTCCGCCTGATGGGCTGCAAACAGCTGACCAAAGAGCTGTGAGGCGGTCAGCCACACCCAGCAGTGAGGGTACCGCAGGTGGGCTTCAATGTGACCTGTAGGAGAACATGAAGAAAGAGAAATGAGCGAGTGTGAAAGAACGTGTGTGTGTTTGATAGGGAGATGGTGTGTGTTTGTCTTTTACCCCAGGTACGATGTAACGTGTCAAAAGGCTTGCTGAGCTCCAGCAGGCCGCAGTGTTTGTTGAGTTTGCTGAGGAGGGTCAGAAAACTGAACAGCAGCCGGTCTGCTCCTTTCTCATCCTGCTCCTCCTCGATCTGAAACAGGAAGTGGAGTTAAGATGCTGTTTTTTTTCTTTCTTAGATTTCAAACTTACAAAGTGTTGCCTCACATCTTCAAAGTTGTCGGGGTTTATCTCCCTCTCCAGCAGAGGCAGCAGGTCGTCAAGGCGACGGACAAACTTCTCCTCTTCAACCTCCACGAACAGGCCACAGACCTGCGCTCCGAGACGCCTCAAGCTGGCCTGGACGGACAAGTAAAGGAATTTAAAGTTAAAGGATTGAGATTAACAAGCATTACAGCTCTAGAGTCATCAATCACTTTCAGATCAAATTGTTCCCCTAGAAGGATGATAGTATGTGTACCTTTTCTGCATGAAGCCAGGTGTTGACAAGGCAGTACAGGGTGTTCTGGTGGTTCAAGTCAAGCTGGGTAAGCAAAGCCTTGATGGCCATGGCGGCCATTTTCTTACAGCGTGCAGAATCATCATTGACCACGACCAGAGCCAGTGGTGCAAAGAATAAGCCGCTATGTTGCAACAGCAGCTTCTAAGAAAGAAAAAAAACACACAACCAGGTGTGACTATGTTGCTGTTACATTTGTCTGAGCTTTAAGAAAGCATGCAGGAGTTAAAAAACTGCAATGGTTAAAGGCTTTCTATGTGATTTTTCACTCTTAAATATAATAGAAATCAAGTATATCCTCTGAAAATAACTCTGTGAGTCATGACTGTCTACAATGGGTGTAACACCCGAGTCCCACTGTCTGTGATGTTTTCAGAGTTTTCAGAGTCCTATCTTCAGTTTGTTTACATCGCCGAGACGGCCGGCTGACTCCTCCCCTCGTGTATAAAAGTTGTTTAATTGAGGGACTAGAGAAAAGAAGAATAACATACTGTACTCACTGCTTAACTGTGTTTCTAGATCACGCTCATTTCAGGTAAATTTACATGCAGTGTGAAGATACGAGCATAATAAAGATCACTAGCATTAGCATGCTAACACAACAATGCACTGCGAGTTGTTTTGGTTTCATGCTGGTGCTCAAGGGCGACATCTGCTGGATCAAAGAATCACATAAAGCTTTTAAACAAGTGATGTTATGACGCTGTAAGGGAAGCACAAAGTTAAGTTTTGTTTTTTTTGCACACATTTTGTAAACTACAGAGAAAATTCCCTGACCTGAGGGAAAGTCTGGAAAATGTAGGCTAGCATCTCCAGCACAGACTCCCTGCCTGTGTCGTGCTCGTAGTTCAGCTGGGCCACCACAAAGTCCAAGTGCCCCCTTAACCTCTTTCCCAGTGGATAGTCCAGCAGGTATTTCAGATAGATCTACATAGAACACAAACATCACTATGAACACTCACTGGGTTTCGAGACACTTCAAACACTTTGTATGGATACAGGTTCTTCTGATGTGTGGTTACCTGTCGACAGTGGATTCGGATCATGGCGTTGCTACCGGTGACGGACAGCTTGGCGACTTTCTTTAACACCTCCTCCATCTCTGGAACCACAAGTTTCCTTGACAGAATCGCCTAGAGGAGAAGGATACCTTTTGAAACACAGCTAAAGGCATAGACACATTTGGTTTCTTTGATTCTCCTGTTGAGCACCACAAACACTGAGCTACACATTTGACTCTGTACCTTCAGCAGGCCGAAGGCTGTGGCCTGACGGGACTGGTCATAGATGTCCTCCTCAGCGTATCCCAGCAGCACCTGCAGCTGTGTCTCTGAAATGTTTTTGCTTTTGACATTCTTCACCAGAATGGTGATGGCCTGAGAGACAAAACAAAGGGCAGCACTTCAGTTTTC